GCTCCTTGAGGCTGTTAGTCTGGGCAAAGAGGGCCAAAGAGAAGAGTGAAGAATTCAGAACTCAAATGCTGATGGCCTTGCCTGTTGCAGATAAGAAGAGAAAATGGCCTTGCCTGTCTGGCTAAACTAGCAGGTGGCTTGTAAATCAGAATGGAATGTCCCTCCCTAAAGACTCTGTTTATAAAAATCCTTCCCAGTATGTTCAAGTGTGACTTCCCATCCTCCCTCTCCAGGATGAGGAACTCACCCAGGAGCTCCCCTTTCCCCCCTTTAATAAAGCTGCATTAAGCTTTCTCTTGTTCTCTCTGATTTCTTCTTTAAGTCCATTAACCTAACCTAACAGAAGTCCCTCTGTTGTTGTTGTGTACTGACTCATAGCTGACCCTCCACTGTGCAATAAATTACCCGGAAGGAGACTGCTCATTTTTCTCCCACAGAGCAGCAGGTGGATTTGACTCGTGTGACTTTGAAATGACAGTAGGCTACCAGAGCTCCCTAAGGGTTCTCTGCTATTGTTGAGTTCCATCAAGTCATCAGTGGATTTTCAGAGGTAATAAATCACACGGGAGAATATTGCCCATCTTTTTCTTACAAAGCAGCTGGTGGATTCGAACTGCATGCCTTTGGGATTGCAGTACCACTAGGCCACCAGAGCTTCTGAAGGGTTTTTTAGGGAAGGAGAATTCTAAGTCTTTTAAAAATAATAATAATAATAATAAATAATGGAAAGATAATTCCAAGTCTCAAGACAGGGCAGGACAGTAGTTCACAGTTCAACATTTTTATCCTGATTCAAAATTAGTTTATTAGCTTAAAATTCTTAAAGCCTCAGCTTCTTGTAATTGAACTTTTTAAATGTATAGATGGTGCGAGTTTTTGAAACTTCTGTAATTTGATTATGACTAAATTGGGTAATATTTGTCCAAATCAGTTTGACTTAATCCTTCCTTGACATCATTTAATATTCTTTATTCACATTTCTGTTTAACAGTAAAGTTTTCTCTCCAATAGATGATTTATTTTGGGAACTCCCTGACATGCAACACAGACAAACAGAACTACTCTGAGAAGTGCGGTAGCAGCTGGGAGCCCGCCTTCCGTGACTTGCCTTTATTCCTCAGCGGCTCCTCCAGTGGCTCCCAGGACTCTGTGGGGCACATTGTGACAGCCACTGAGGGAGAGATTGTGTCTGGGAGGTGTTTTACAGAATATTTTAAAAAAAAAAGGCTGTGCAGGAGGAATGCTGAGTTATGCCACAGGGTTAGCTTACAGATGGAGTTCAGCTGTGGCCAGAGCCAAGCCCAGAAGACTAGAGGGGTGAATGGTGGCTCTGAGTAACAGCCGCTCAGAGACAGTGAAGGGAGGGGCCTCACAACCCAGGCCAACAGGGCCAAGTGTGCCAGACCAGAAACCACAAGGTTCAACTTGTGGTATACAAACAAGCTCAGCTACTCTAGAGGACATCAGGCAGGTGTTGGAGAAGAATACTGAATATTTCATGGGTGGCCAAAAGGACAAACAAGTATGTCTTGGAGAAAGTATAACCAGGCTGCTCTTTGGAAGCAGGGATAGGGAAGCTTTGTTTTACATACTTTGGGCATGCTATTAGGAGAAGTCAGCCTTTGGGAAAGGTCATCATGCTTGGAAATGTGATGGGTCAGTATAAGTGAGGCAGGCCCTCAAGGAGATGAACTGAATAGTCACTATAACAACAGGCTCAAGTATATCAGAGATGATGAGGATGGCACAGGGTAGGGCAGGGTTCAGATTCATTGTTCATAGAGTAGCTAAGAATTGTAGTTGACGGGATAGCACATAACAAAAACAACAATATTAAAACTAAAGGGAGCTCTGGTGACACAGTAGATAGGGAGTTGAGTTGTCAACCCAGAGGCTCAAATCCATCCGCTGCTGTGAGGGAGAAAGATGGTCAATCTCCTCCTATGCAATTTATAGTCTCTGAAAACTCACTGGAGGATCAGCTAAGAGTCGTTTCCAACAGGATGGCAGTGAGTGAGAGAGTGAACAGGCAAGTGATTGAAACTAAGGAATCTCTGGTTGGTACAATTGATTATTATGCTCCTATGCCTAACAAAATATTGGACTTTTGAGTCCACCAAGAGATTCCATAAAACAAAAGCTCAATAGTCAACTTCCTAAAAACTCAACCATTGAAAATGCACACCATGAATTAGAATCAACTCGACAGTAATTAATTTTCTCCAATTATTTGAATCAAAACTGGACATACCTGATGATTATATTATAGGCATTTTTTCCACAAACTATTTTGAACATAACTCAGAATTTCATGTTACAATCTAGTATGCATATTTCATGCAGAAATGATTCAAAGTGTTCATTAATCATTACATGCAATGAATTCTAATATTTTATAGGCTTTTATTTGATTTCTATGTTATACGGTTTTGGTGACAATTCCTCATCCTAATTTCTTTTACCCACTAATTTGAATCCAAAGGAGTTCTGGTGTCAGAGTTGTGCTGCCAACCAAAAGGTCAGTGGTTCAAATCCATCAGTTGTTCTAAGGAAGGAATATGGCAGTCTCCTTGCATAAGGATTTACAACCTCAGGAATCTGGTGAAGGATATCTGTAAGTCTGCAGGTGGATGACTATAATTGGCTCCATGGTGGTGAGGTCATTTGAACCCAGTTTGAAACCATTTGCACATGTTTAGGTAAATGAACAAGACTATCTTTTATGTTGTTGTTGTTGTTGATGATTGCCTTTGAGTTGAGCGCAACTCAGAACGACCCTATGAACAAAAGGCCTGAAGCCCCTCTACAACTATTGACATTTATCAAAGTTCATAGTGTTTCCGGAGGCATGTATTTAGGAAGTGGATGCCACTATAGTGAAAAAGTACAAATGGCCAAATGGCCATGAAAAAGGAAATGGCAAGTTAAAATGTAGTAAATTTACATGGTGAATTTGTATTTAGTATATAGGAAAATTATAATCAACATGACTAGATCTGAAAAAAAATTCATGAGTGGAAACAAAACCTATTTGATGAAACATGCAGTATAAATGTATTTCTATTCAATCTTTCTCTGTCATACACACATCTAAGTGAGAATCATAGATCTACAGAAGATTTGAAAAGATACACAGATTTCCAAGAATTGTCTCTTCAGAAATTGCCGTTTAGGGGTGGTGGCTAAAGAGTGTTTTAGCTTTAACTGTAATATTTTGATTTTACAAAAGGAGAAAGAATTTTAAGATTGCATGGCTAATTGAAATTTAACAAAAGTAAATATGGCACAAATCAATATATGCAGATAGAAAGAAACACATTCTGTATTAAAGAATGCTTGAAGGCATAAATACATGAAAGGAAGCAAAAATTCACAAAGAAATGTTTGAATGTAATAAAATGTAGTCTAGAATCATTAATGAGTGGAAGCATCTTTGAATGCATTCATGCATAAAAATTATGAACAACTTCATACTCAAAACATGAACAAACTCATCATAAATACAATAGCATATGTTTATATTCAAGAAGAGAAAATAAATTATTATGCATGAATATTCTAACAGGTGATGGCTGAGTGGATATATAGAGGGTTACAGAAATGTCTAAATACTTGTTTGAATCCTTTAGTGTGGACATGTGTAAATTTATTAATAAATGTTGGTGTACACAATGACCAGAAAGAGGGGAGGGGCAGAGGATCAGCAGGGCATGTAAATTTCTCTCATCATTGCAGAAAACAGTCAACCAACAGAAGATGAAGTGGAACAACAAAAGCTTCATTGTCTGTATGCTGTGAAACCAGGAGATCTCTAGGAACATGGATCAGCAAATGATGGCTGGGACCAGTTCGTTTCCATTGGCTTCCATTAGCATCCCCCAGGGTCCACCATCCTCTCAGAGAGGGAGTTTTGAGGGAGAGTCAGGAGTCCATGTGGACTTGGTATGTTATAAGATGAGCAGGAGCCTATGATGTAGGAGAGTAACAGCAGTATCTCAAGAAATGTCACTCAAGCCTATGTCACTGAGTTGGGGACAGAGGGCAGGAGATTGGACTATTATTGCTGGTGGGGAAGCTTGGTGGAAGCCAGGCTAGGTGCACCTGAGCAATACTTATAGCACTGGGGCCTAGGTTTCTCAGACACCTCTTACACTTTCCTAACCTGGAAAGTTCACTAAGGAATTACGTCATAGGCAATCACTTCCATCAGTAATAAATGAAGCCACATGTTTCACATGTTGTTTTTTTGGAAAAGTCAACGTGCCTAGAAGAAACTGTCTGTCTAAATAATAGGCAGCAATTTGGATCAGTTAAAGATCAACTGGAGCTCATGGGATAAAGGGGTGAGGACAGAGTATATATCCTGTTTTCCTCTAAATTCTGTACTTACATGAAACCAGGACTAAAGGAGGAAAACTACTATCTGGGAAGCCAATCTTTCTCAGTTACAGAAGGCCCTTTGATTCAGCTTAGCTACACATCAATATCCTTCTCCTGGTCTGAAGGATGGATGTTAAGATAAGTCCCCCTGGTATATAAGGTGAACACCACCACTGGAGCGTTCACACCCCTTAAAGCAATCTGACACTCAAGATCAAAATGACAGCATTGGTTCAGAAGGCAGGATGAGTTAGGAAAGAAGGAGGAATTGAAATGGGGAACAGGGAGAAGTGAGATGCATGACATCGTAGCCAGGATTGTAATTAATGCCACAAAACAGAATGCATATGAGTTATTGAATGGAAAACCACTTTGCTTTATAGCTCTGCTCAAAATGTGCATGGATTGTTGAATGGAAAATGGATCTGCTCCATCAGCTTTTATGATCTTTACACTAAAAAGTTAAAGAGAAGCAAAGACAACGTAGGAGAGAGGAAAGAACATCGTCCCTGTGTGAGTGCTTTGTGTTCCTGCAGGAGGGGCTTAGGCAGGGTAAGTGTCCCTCTCTGCAGCCCTCACTGCGCGCTCACACACACTGGGTCGCTCAGCCTGCATTTTACCTGGTTGGCGGAGGAACACAAGTGGCACTGGCTCACGTTGCTGAAGAACACGTTGATGACCTTCCAGTCATTCTGAAAGTCGAGTTGCTGAGAATAGAGACGACAGAATCAGAGAGAAACAACAATGAGACTTTGCACCAGATGAGCATCTTCCTTCCACTTATTTCAATTTTATACACCCACTCCCAATAAATCGTATTCATAGCTTCCCCCCCTTAAAGATGAACATATACAGTGGGAGTCTAAAAGCATACACCTTCTCTAGAGGCAGTATTGAAGAATGTATCAAATTCATTTTTTAAAGGGGCATGGACTTTGGTGCAACAACTTCCTTTCTCAAAATGTATCTGAAGATAACAAAGATGCATGCAAAGATTTAGCTACAATTATGTTCATCAGAGCATTGTTCATAAGAGTGAGAGAAGAGACCGGAAACAGCATAAATTCCTAAAATAGAAAATTGGCTGTGTAAGCTGTGGCATACTCATAAGATGAACCACCATGTAGTTAATAAAATGAATCCTGGAAAGATAATTATTGTCATGGGGAATGTTAATACAATGTTAATGTATTGAGTAAGAAAAACAAGTTATTAAAGAGTGTATATGTATCTATATCTATATATAAGCATCCTTGTTTTCTAAAATATACACAGATCTATGTGCTAAGAAAAACAAAACCACCAGGGACTATATACCAACAAAGAAGTTGGCAGTAATTGCCTCTGGGTGTTAGACTTAAGGATGATTTTAATATTCCTTTTCCTTCCAAATTTATTTTATTTTGACTGTTGAAAACACACACAGCAGGACATACACACATTAACAGTTTCTACTGATACAATTCTGTGACCCTAATTATCCTTCAAGTTGTGAATCAACTCTTTTTCTGAATGGCTCCTCTCCCATTAACATGAAGCCTTTGCTCCAAAACTTTCTATCCTATTAACATTCTTCATGCTTACTGTTTTTCTCATTTTTCTACAATGAACATGCAATGCGTAGGAGATAATTTTTTTTATTTGTTTGCACTTGAAGAAGCAGTAGGATCCCTGGTGGCTCAGTGATTAAAGCTCTTGGCTGTCAATCAAAACGTCAGTTGCTTGAACCCACCAGCTGCTCTGTGGCAGAAAGACCAGTCAGTCTGCTTTCAGAAAGATTCGCCGCCTTAGGAACCCTGGAGGGAAGTCCTGCTCTGCCCTACAAGGTAACTATGAGTTGGAATCAATTCAGTGTTAGTGGGCTTGCTGTTGTTTTTAAAGTCAAGGAACATTGGACCCTGGATTGCATACTTTAAACTCAAGCTCCAATTAGTTATGTGGCCTTGAACAGGTCACAACCCCTCTTGGGATTTTAGTTTCCTTGTCTATATCTGTGAAATTAAGGGAGTGGATTAAGAATCTCCCAGTTGGTTTCCAGGATAATCATAGCATTTCTGTGGCCTGGCTAGGTATTCTGGCATCTTCCTGGTAGGGTGAGACCAGCTCTTTAAGGCCTATTTCCCTACATTTGCTACTGTCCAGGTAGGACCTGGAATGAAGTCTTTAACACCTGGAGTCTTCCATGTACACTTGGCTGGTTGAGAAGGAAGCTCCCTTGGTTCCAGGCATCCAGGCTCAGAGCATAGTTAAGGCTGGCTCATCGTGAAGTTGATCTTGCTTTGATATCTGCCTCAAGGAAAGCACAAAACTTCTGAGGATGTTCATTATAAATTGATATAAGTTACTAGATAAAGACTATCTAAACTGTTGGGAGAGTGCGTGCCAGAGTATGAGTGGGTATGTGTTATTATTATGTACCATGGGGCAGGTTTGACTCATAGCTGACCCTCCAGCGGGTTTTCAGAGGCAGTAAATCACTAGGAAGGAGATTGCCCATCTTTTCTTGCTCTTGCAGAGCAGTTGGTGGATTTGAACTGTGTGCCTTCGGGTTGGCAGTGCAACTCCTTACGACTAGGCCACCAGTGTGTCTCTGTGTAAAACCCACTGCTGTTTATTTAATTCTGATCCATAAAGACCCTCCAGTGAGTTTTTGAGGCTGTACATCTTAAGAGGAGGAGAATGCCCATCTTTCTCTCATGGAACAACTGGAGAATTAAAACTGCTGACCTTTTGGTAGCCGCCACATATGTTATATACTACACCACCAGGGATACACATGTGTATTATTACAAGAGAGCTCTATCTAAGATGTGCAATTTATATGATCATTAATTATAATAATCCCCACCACAATGACTGTGGCAGTTACCAGTTTGTATCAGGCACTGCCTGCCTACCTGCCCAGGTGTCAAACCAAAGAGTAAACAATCACTACTTCATTTAATCTTAAGATCTGGTGGCAGAGTGCAAAGCATGTCAGACTGCTAACTGAAAGGTCAGCAGTTCAACTGCAACTGTTGCTTTGTAGGAGGAAGAGGGGTGATCTCCTTCTGTAAAGATGTACTGCCTTGGAGACCTAGTGAAGGGTTGCTATGGGTCAGAACCAACCTGATGGGAGTGGGTTTGGAATCTGGTTAAGCACAGTGAAGGAGCCCTGTTGGTGAAGTACTTAGTTGCTGACCAAAAGGCCACTAATTTGAATCCACCACCCCCTTCACAGGAGAAAGATGTGACAATGTGTTCCCATAAAGATTCACAGTCTTGAAAACTCTTGAAGCAGTTCTGCTTTGCCCCTTGTTGTTGTTGATATGTGCCATTGAGTCAGAGCTAATGCATATTTGACCCTCCAGTGGGTTTTCAGAGACAGTAAATCACACAGGAGAAGACTGCCTATCCTCCTCTTAGCAGGTTTGAACTTCATGCTTTTGGGACTGCAGCACAGCTTCTTACCACTAGGCCACCAGGACTCTGCCCTAAAGGGCCACTGTAAATTGGAACAGAGTTGACAGCAATGGGTTTGGTTTGAGTTTGTAAGCACTATTATTTAGGATCTATTATGATCTTTGTTTTATATGAGAAAACAGACTTAGTGAGTTCAAATATCTAGTATCACACAGCTAATGGGTGAAGAATTCAGGACCCAAACTCAAGCTAGCCTTACACTGGGACATAAGATCTCAGTCGCTATGATGCGCAAGAAGTCATTTGTCCTGCTGCTATTTTTAGCAAGTTTTCCCAAAAAGACATTTTGAATAGAACAACTAGTCATATATGTAACATTCTGTGGAGAATTATCCTTTTGGAACCCTTTTTAGAGCCCAGGCCCCAGGACAAGATAGTGCCAAAATTTCTCATCTTATATGTGCTATTCCCTAGAGAATCATCTGGGAAGACATTTTTTAAGAGCTCAGACCACTCTCAGGACCAAGCACAGGGCAAAAGGGTGTCGGACCCCCACTGCCTGGTGTGTTTGGTCCAACAGCCTCACAGCGAATGTGAGCAGGTGTACACGCTGACGTCAGATGGAGTCTTACCACGTTCTCTTTCATGCTTCTCACCAGTTCCTTGGCCTGAATCCACAAGTTTCTGTGCAGCAAGAGGGAAGCAGAGAGACAAACCAGACTAGATATTATCCTGCAGAGTTACTGAACCCCAGACTCTAGCGCTTCTGAGACATGAGCACAAACACAACTTTGAGCTAGAAGCTGGCCCCTCACCCCACACAGGTGGAGTGAAAGCCATGTGGGAACACCCATGGCTTTGAAGGGCGCACATTCACCTGATTGTTACAATTAGGCCCAGGAGGCTGACTGAAGTCAGCAAGGAAAGGTATCCTGGGTTTGGCTTGATAAAAGATTCTATTTTTAGGCCTCTTTGACTTTCGCAGTCCAGCCCAAATCCTCTGGCCTACCTTGTCAGAGACCAGCAGGAAAACGCAACCCTAGCAGGAGACAGACAGGAACTTACTCGGTGTCATCGCGGGGCAGACCAGTCTTCCCTGAAGGGCACAGGGGCCTCAGCAGAGAGGGGTTGAAATATCTGATGACATCTGAAAGGACTAAAGAGAAAAAGCTGGTGTGAGGTCCTGACCCCTGAAAGGTGAGGGCCGGAGGTTACCACTCTCACCCCAACGCTCAGCCTTCATACCCTGACTGGGGATGGGAGGTCAGCCTCACTCAGGCTTCTTGAAGTGAGCGGAGCTACAGCTCAGCGCAGGTGCACGTTGGAGAGAACTGTGAGTTTGATTCAATAAAGTGATGCCACAACAAAAGGCAAGTCACATCATATTATTGTTGTTGTTTCCTAGCCTTGTCTGTAGGGACGTGAGCTGTGAACCTAAAGGCCAAGCCTCTCTGGAGACTCAAGTTCACCAGTAGCTCCAAGAAAGAAAATTGAGCAGTCTTCTCCAATGTGATTTGTGACCTCAGAAACCCAGTGGAATGTCAGCTATGAGCTAGTCCTGACTCCATGGCAATGAGTGACGTTGTTGTGTACCGTCGAGTCAGAACTAACTCATAGCTGACCCTCCCAGTGGTTTTCAGAGGCAGTAAACAAACCACATGGGAGGAGACTGGCCATAGATTCAAACCGCGTGCTTTTAGGATCACAACACAACTCACCACATATAAAAGTTCTCTTTGCACCTTAATGTAGTATATTAGATGTGTGATAGCATTATAAAAAAGTTTAATATAAAGAGACAACTGCCAAAATATGACACAAAGACAAAAAGTAAGTACATGCAATTGGAAAAAAATGGGGACAATAAGCTTGCTACAAATAAATCATCAACTTATTTTAAAAAATCCCACAATATCTGCAAAGTGCAACAAAGTAACAGGCAGTAAAAATGAGATGTACTTATACCTGGCAAGAGCCTGGTCAGGCTCAGCACTAAGCACTTCATACAAGTTTTTTAATTTAATCTTCTCCACAAACTCAGGGCTTTTATCTCCAATTTAGTGAAGTGGAAACTGAAGTTGAGAGAAGGTAAGCAATTTGCTTAAGGTCTCATGGACAACCGAGGCCTTGGACACGGAAGCTTTTAACCATGAGCAAACACTTCAGTAGAGAAAGTGAGGCAGGGTCAGAACTCGAGCTGCCTCCTACTCTCCCCCCAACACCTCACCGCACCCCACCCCTTCTTTAGAGAGTGACAGTGGGGCGGGAAAGCTCGGGGGAACACAGAGAACGTGTCCCAGTGCTGACAGCCAGAAGACCGCTAAAAATAGTGCTGTCAGGAGCGGTTAAGTCTTGCTCCCAAGAGAGGAGAGGGCAGAGCAGGGAGGGAGGGAGCCGCCTCCACCCCCATCACAGCCCCCTTTCTTTTTGCTTCCATCCAGCGGTGCCTGGGGCTCTGTGGGAGCAGAAGGCAACTGGAGATGGGATCTCTTTAGAGAGGAGCCTGGCTGGGAGCAGTCCAACAGGGGGACTGGCCTGGAGGCAGGAAACTTCATCCCCTCGCTTTGTGGTCTTGGAAAGCCACCTCCTAAATGACTGGGGTTTTCACCCTTAAACTAATGAATGTCCTTTTGCATCCCCCCTCCCACTGGTTTTGCAGAAGAAACACATTTCCACATGTGGAGAGAAAATGGAAAGCCCAGAGCTCAGTTCAAGACCTTAGGTGTGATGTGTGTGTTTATGTACATGAGGGAGAGAGGCAGGAGAGAAGTGGCGGAAGGGAGGAGAGAGGAGGAAAAAGAGAGATAGAGGTAAAGAGAAGGGGCTTTCTTACAGGATGGTGAGGAAAAAAGAAAATCAGAAATCAGACAAAGCAGTGGGTGCCTCTGTGGGTTTAGGGTTTACATGCCAGACATTAGGGTTTATATTTCCAGACATTTCAAATATATCACTTTTATTTCTCTTTGTATCAATACAAGGTTTTGTTTTTTCCAAACTCCTGCATGGTGATCCTTCCCCAGTTTAGCCATCATCTGTCAATCCAATCATGAAGCACCCCCCCACCCCACCCCACCCCGCACCCAAGCTTCACCCTCCCCTTTGGAAATGTGGTGCCTCAAGGCAGGACCAGCAGCTTCTTCATCCTTCCTCCCTCCGGGTAGTCTAATAAACCCCTGGTGGCAAATTCACTGGTTGGATTGACAGCTCTGGCTCCCATCCACCCATGTGGATCACGCCCCCTTCCCCCAGGGTCTGCTCAGCTGAGCCAAGCATGACCTTGCAGTCTACGTCTTTTTCCTCCAATTATGGAGAGAGCTGTGGTTCCAAGCACCAGAGACTCCTAATATTCCCCTAAATTAATTCAGCCAGAGCTAAGGGAGTTAGAGCCTTCAAGATGGCTTAATACTGAGAGTCAGAAGGGGCCTCTAATAGTGAATAGAGAAAACGTAAAAGCCAAGCTACAGACAGCCTATTCATAAGCACATTCACATATAAAAAGGTCAGTATATTAACAATGATTATTCTGGATTATAGTAGTTTCTGCTCTCTTCCTCTCTCTTGCTTCAACTCAATTGATGTATTTATTTGCCAGATTGGAACAAAGGAGTAATTATACAATGAAAGATACTGAAAATTAGAACTGATTTCTCTCTGAAGAGAGAACCGTGGACAGTCACCCCAGCTAAATAACAAGTCCCGCTCTGGGAGAACAAACACCTTAGAAATCTGTCCCCTCCCCAGCTCCTGGTCCCAAGACCATGATCTGCAATGTTGAGCCAATGACCTCCCCCCTTCTCTCCGTCCAGAGACCTTATCTCACCTCTATGACCACCTTCGCCTTTTTCTTGAGACTGGTAATGAAAGGGCCAATAACCTAACCCTCATTAATTAAAACACGGCTGTGCAGGGAGCAGTGGGACTTTCTGGAACCTGGATGTAGAACACAACTCACCTGTCACTACCATGCACGCCTGCTGCAGCCCATTTTCAGTCCTGCAAGTAGAAGCGACCACACAAGTGTCAGGCTGTATTTGTCCCCTACAAACACCTCTTTCCCTGATTGCTGTGTGCTATTTCCAAATGATTTTGGGGCCAGGCTGGCTCCAGGGCTGGGGCTATCTATCCATCCTGGAGTCAGAGGCATGCCTTGAAGGGCACTTGACTATAAAACTCATTGAGTCAGAACCAGCCAATAGCTGATCTTCCAGCTGTCTTCTGAGACTGCAAATCACAAAGGAAAAGATTGTCTCTTTCTTCCACTTGTGGATTTGAACCACTAGGGAGGCTCAGCCTGTGGGTTAGCTGCTCGAATCCCTCTGGATTCCACCATCAGAGCTTCCCTGAACGGCAGTAGAGTCACCAGTAAAGGGGAAAACAGTGCTCTCTGGACCTGTCACTGTCGTCTCATTGCTTTTGTCTGAGCCTCAGGTTTGAAGGGTTTGTTAATCCTAGTATAGAATGTTGACTGTCGTATAGACAGAGCATGGCCCAAGCCCTGCGCTATTCTTTTAAGAGTAGGGTAAGATGTATAGGTGGCTGTAAGCAAGTAACCCAGCACTTGGCCTTCTTCATCTCTATCCCCCATCCCACAGGAGCCATGGTGATTTCCTGGCCCTGAGGGTGCTGGCTTGGTCCCACACTGTCTTCTCTTTCTGGAGTAGCCTTGATCACAGCATTGGCCTCTCTGCGACCCTTGGTTTTCTTCGCCAGTGAAGCACTAGATTGCATTGTCTCTGAGTCTTTCGTGCTCTTATCATTCTGGGGTTTCAAGATAGTTACCATATTTGCTTCTTCAGGTCCACCATCCCTGAGTCTGGAAGCTGGAAAAGACAAGAGATGTTCAGAATCTAGTCAGAGTAGTTGCTCTGTAGTATCGAGTCAGAATAAACTCATAGCTGATCCTCCAGTGAGATTTTAGAGGCTGTAAATCACATGAGGGGAGCTTGACCATCTTTCTCCGTCAGACAACTTATAGTGGATTCAGACTTCATGCCTTTGGTTGTCAGTGTAGCTTCTTACCTACAAAACTGCCAGAGCTCCCCTCACCCACAGCTAGTACCCTGAATTTGAACTTCCAGTCTCGTCAACTGTAAGAGATACATTTCTGTTAAAGTGGCTTCCTTGTAGTATCTCCATTACAGCAACGTTAGATAACCAAGACAGGTGGTGATGGGTGGACAGCTTAACTCACATTGACTACACTCAGCCTGCTTTGCCTTTTCCCTAAAGAGCTCGGATCTACTTTACTCATGTCCCTGCATGTGCAATCAGTGAACACACTCTGCTGCTAACCAAGAGTTTGAGGTTTGCATCCACTCAGAGGCTCTGTAGTAGAAAGTGGTAGTAATCTACCTTGAGAAGGCATGGAGCACACTTCAATCTGCCACCTAGAGGTCATTATACTTTATCTTAACTAAACAGCCTTTATCCGTAATCACACAGATTTCAACAGCGTGGATCATACTAAATTATTGATAACACTTTGAAGAAAAGGAATTCCAGAGCACTCAGCTGTGCTCCTGCACCACCTGTAAGTAGACTAAGAAGTAGCTATCCCAATAAAACAAGATGCTGCTAGGTTTAGATCAGGAAATGTGTCCACTGAACAAGCAATCTGGGAGGCAGGATAATCGAGAATATTGTGTCAGGATTGGAGAAAGATCCATTAACAACCTCCAGTAAGCAGATGACACAACCTTCCTTGCAGAAAGCAAAGGAAGTTGGAAACATTTATTGATGAAGCTTAAAGACTATAGTTGTCCATATGAATTATATGTCAACATAATGAAACAAAAATCTTCCTAGTTGGGTCAATAAGCAGTAGTATCGCAAACAGAGAAAAGGTTGACGTTGTCAAGGAATTCATTGCATGTGTATCCACAATCAACACACATGGATGCAGCAGCCAAGAAATCAAACAAAACATTATGCTGGGCTGCTAAGGACCTCTTTAAAGTGCTAAAGAGCAATGAGGTCTGTTTAATGACTAGGGCGCATCTGACCTAAGCTATAGTATTTGCAGTTGTTGCCTATGCATGTGAAAAGTTGAACAATGACATAAGAAGACTAAAGAAGAACTGACACCTTTGAATTGTAGTGTTGGTGAAGAGTATTGGCAATATTATGGACTTCCAAAAAAACAAGCAAATTTGTGTTAGATAAAGCGTATCCAGAGTTCCTTAGAAGAGAAGATGGTAGGATTTCATCTCACAGAATTTGGGCATATTATCAGGACGGCCCAACTTCCGGAAAAAAAATATCATGTGTGGAAATGTAGGTGAGTAAAAAAGAGGAAAACCTTTAATGAGACGGATTCCAACAGTGACTGATGACTACAAGAGGGCGCTTACGTTCCCAGAGAATGTGAGTCCGGTTTTGTTCAAGACTGGGCCAGGTTTTATTCTGTTGTAGATAGAGTCGATTAAGTGTTATTCTGAAAATACCTTCCATAAAATCTAACATTTTAAAGTTCCATGAAGAAACTGTGACCCATAGCAATTAAATAAATGTTAGTTACAATCACAATAAAGTGAATGTATCTTAGTGACAGAAGGCTCCAAGAATCCACAGCACAAAGGTCAATGTTGAGAACTTTGCTTTCACAATTCTATTACAAAAGAGTAGTTATTCTGTTACTGTTCCTAACCATTATTATTATTATTATTATTAATTATTATTATTAAAAACAGGCTAAGCTTATGGCAGTATCTTTTCCATGGCCCTTGCGTGGGCCGACAGAGGATGAAGGTTCCCAAGGATTTTATTCTAGAAGCAGAGCGGCCCTTTCTATAAATTCATTCTGGATTGAAGTGTATGGGGATGTGTTGGCCTCTGGCTTACAAGAAGAGGAAGGTGACTGAGTGACAGGTAGATACCTGAATAATTCATGAGAGGCTTGCAGAGATGGGGGCCAGAAGGTGGGAGTTGTTGTACTGATTTAAATTTCAAAACCTGCCTTTGGGTGGGGATTTACTTGCAATGAATTTCACTGCCCCGTAGAAGAATGTGAGTCTTGGCTCTGGAAGCAAACATGAGTATGCAAACACACAGGCTTAGAAAAGTCAACCTAGTCTGACACCATTTTTCTCCTTTATTTCCAGCTCCCCTTTCAATGTCTTCTCCAGCAGTTAACCTTCAGACTCACCTCATCAATGTATAGAGACAATATCACCTAGTTTTAAAAGCCATGGTCAAATAGAATCAAACAAGAATGAGGATGCCCTGCCTACCAGTCTTCCATTGGGTCAGTTTTCTAGTAAGTCTCAGTTTTCCAGCACCTCCACACACTTCACTTTTTCACACCCAGTTCGCACCTTTCATACTTGTGATCTGCAAGTGGGGTTTGTGTGGAAGCCGAAAAGAAACAAAGGTTTTCAGATGGGCACCTTCAGCCAGCCTTCAAGTGGAGGTGCCATTCATAAACCCAGGGAGCGGTCAGTAGGTGAGCTTAGCATCCTGGGCTCCTTCCAAAGAGGTGGAGCTTGCTTAGTCACCTAACCCAGGTTCTGTGTGTGTGTAGCAATAGCTAGTGGTCATCAGGTAATCAGTTGGGCAGACTGGCCATAAGGGATGGAGAGGGGCTGAGCCTGAGGTGACAGGGGTATAGGTTTTAGTTGCAACAAAGGAAGAGAGCTGAAAAGGAAAAGTAGTGATCAAAGTTGAGAAGACAGACAGGGAGTCAGGCAACATCAGAGATTCAAATATGAGAGGCACAATTAGGGCTTTGGAAGTAGTGGAGATCTGACAAAGAAATATTCTTTGAAGCTTGGGATCACTAGAGTCTGAGGGGCAGCAGAGCTTTACAGCTTTACTGAGACCAGGGCAGGTAGGACAGTGTAGAGCAAGAAGGGCTGATGGGAACTTCAGCAACCTCCTCTCCCATCCGATCTTCTCCCAGGTGCCTCTCTGTTCATCCCTTTCACCCTTTCTCTTCTTGTTCCTGATCTTTGCCCTTTACCTGGGTCATATAGAACATGCCCTTAAAATTTTATGATGGAGATAGACAGACTAACCTTTTTAATTTACAATGCATGTGAGGAAACTTTGTTTTCTTTACCACAGAAATAGAAATTTCAAATAGTTACTCTAAAAAAATTTCTGTGTGAGTTCTCATTTAATTTAGTCATAGGTAGTTACCTCCATAAGCAAAGTAAGCCTTCTTATTCTGATGTAAAAGGAGGAATTCATTTGATTTACCAAGAAAGCTAGAGTGCTCTCTGCATTTTTTTAGGGTTTCTCCAATTCATGATATTCTTCTCTCCTGATTCTCAGGGGTTCTGCTGAGGATTACCAATGTCTCTTAACCCCCCACTCTTTTAAATACTCACAGTTTCCAGATTCCCAATAGCAGCCACAATTTTTAGATCAGAAGGCCTCAGAGAGTGAACTGCAAAGACAAGAACCCATGTAGGAAAGTTAGATCTACATTCTCCAAGCCGGCAGCCATGGGAAGGTCAGACCCACATACAACTCCCAGCCCCCAAGGAACTGAGGTTGACCCTCTCAGAGGGGGGAATGGGAAGCAGAAGGCCAGGCTGTGGCCAGAAAGTCTGGGAATTCTTCTTCTGAAAAAAAAAGATATTTGTTCATAAAAAAAAAAACCCAAAAACAAACAAAAAAACCCAAAACAAATAACCCCTTTTCTTCTGAAGAAATACTCAGTCCTCTCTGGAGTTTGTACTGTTGACTGAACTTGGGCTCCCCAATAGGTGTGAAATGAAAGGTCATTCATGACCCCACTTTCCTCTCTCTTGAACCTCTGTCTGCCTTTCACTTCTGTCCATCCCATGGCTCTGTAGCTCTGGGTCACCATAAATAAGAGAACAAAAAATGAAAATAAAAACTGCCTACATGTGAAAAAGTGAGCTTTAAGATTGCTTGAGAATTGCACTCAAAGGCTGGGAAGACACACAAATATGAGCTGCAAGTCATGTGCAAAGGATATACATGCTATTGTTCTTTGCTGTTCAGTTTGAACTGACCCATACCTGACCTTCCAGTGAATTTTCAGATACAGTTAATCACATGGGAGGTGATTGCCCATCCTTCTCCCATGGGAAAATCCTTGGATTTAAACCATGGACCTTTAGGACTGCAGCCTAGCTTCTTACCACAAGGCCACCAGAACTCCTTTAGCTACCTAGTTACTCACAAGGACCCATATGTGTCACTGTAGAACTGTGCTATAAATATATATAGGGCTTTCATTGATTGATTTATCACTGAAGTAGCTCATGAGACCCTTCTTCTAATGCTGACTCAAACCAACAACCTTTTGGTTAGCAGTTGAGTGCATTAACCTTTTGCACCACCCAGGGACTGGAATGTAAGTACCAATATATAGATATCATATCAAGTTATAGCCTATCTTTTAATATTATATCATCATATCATATCATACCATATCATATATCATATCATATCAATCATATCATATCAGTATGCACCACCTACCTGAGTCATAGCATTTTAGAAATCAAGTCTCTCTAGAAACCACTAATGCATTCCTAGGTCCAGTTATGAGATATATAAAGAAAACTTTCTAAAGTAGTAATTTTCTTGTATGTTCATGAGGTTGTTATTCATAGTAGCAAGAAAATAGAAGCAGCCCAAATGCCCAACAAGAAATGAATTGAGAGGTTATGAGAGATTCACATAATGGAAGACTATGTAGCAGTAAGAAGCAACAATTTTGTAAAATATTGTATAACTTCAGAGAGTCTAGAGATCATTATACTGAGTGAAATATCTCAGTCACATAAGGATAAATATTGCATAAGGTCACTATTGTGAAAAGAGGAGAATAACTCCTAATAGGAGCAAGATGCATAATCAGAAGGGAAAAGAGAGAAGGGGACAGAAACAGGGAAAGGGGCGGTGGAATCACTGGGATAGCAGAAGTTAATGGGTAGAAGGGGGTAAAGTAATATAAAAGGTTCCACTGGGGCTTGAAAAGACAAGGTGAAAGTCCACATAGAGCAATGGTAATGAATTGTATAAAATACAAAGTATATGAATGATTGTATAAGACAAAAAGTACAGGTGCAAAACATGATATATATGAGTGATTAATGCGAACCAATAAAAATTGTACATTAAAAAGGGAGTAAGTTTTAAAGAAATACATCTATTTCTTTTTTTCTTTCTACTTTGTTGTTATTGTTAGGTCTCAAAGAGTTGCGTATGAGCCATAGTGATCCTATGAACAATAGGTTGGAACCCTGTCCTATACTGTGCCATCCTCACATTTTTTCTACCTAGAGCCCTGACATAATGATAATGTTGTTATTATGTACTGTCAAGTCAGAACCAACTCATAGCTGTCCTTGCAGCTGATCGCACAGTAAATGGCATGGAGGAAATTGCACATGTTTCTTGTGCAGAGCAACTGGTGGATTTGAACTACATTCCTTTGGGCTGGCAGTGCAATGCCTTCCCAACAAGCCACCAGAGCTCCCTGGAATCGTGGTGGCATAGTGGTTAAACATTCAGCTCCTAACTAAATCATAATGCACCAGTGAGTCCACAGGAGAAAAGATCTGGCAATAAGTTACTATATATACATAATACAGCCCAGGAAACTCACTGAAGTGGTTCCACTCTGCCCTGTGGGTCTCCAGGAGTTGGAACCAAATCAAAGGCCCACAAGAATAGCATGTTGAACTGGAAACCCTGATTAAGTCAGTATAATACAAGCATAAAGTCATTAACCACAATCTATCATGCAGCCGCTTAACAGGATAAAGCTGAAAAACAATATGCTAAAGAATGGTATTCATTCAATAACATTCATCTCTCATCTAAAGGTTAGACAAACAGAGCCATGAGGGGTGGAGCAGGATGTCTTGAGAAGCTACTGCGGCTACATTACGTGGATGGGCAGAGCCCCATGACCACCCACAAGGAGGAAACCTCCTCAAAGTCACCCCATCCAGGCAAGCCACTGTGGGGCCAAGTTGGTTCTGTTCTTTGGGGTGGGGGGGTCTGCTGGGCTCTAGTCTTGCACAAAATTAACAAGGAAAGGAGTAGAAGTGGCATGAAGGATTAATGATGGAGCAGATGGAATACTTGAGCTCTTGAAAGGAGCAGGAGGAGTGCAGGATGTGCTGGCTAAGTCCTGGTCCACCTTTCTTATGGTCAGCGGTCACATACCTGACTTAGAAGGCACTTTGGATCCTGACTTCTCTGGCTTGCATGGAAATGGACCATTCCTCAGGAACTCCGCCTGAAACCGAACATTGGATACATCAATTGCACTGTATGAAGATATTGCAGGCCCTGAAACTTGGTCCTAAAATGACCATGTACTTGTATTATGTAGGCTCAGAATCCAGAAGCAACAACGAAGGATAGTGAGGCTTTCCATGACCCATGGAAAAAAAAGGGCTATATGTCTATTGACAATAATTTATTGACAATCATGTCTCAGGGCAGTGATGTGGAGAGGAAGGCAATTGGTGGTGGCAGTGGTGGTCTTGAGTCGACCCAGCGGCCTTATGAATAACAACATCCAGAACCATCTTCATGCTCAGGCTCATTTGTTATTGCTACTGTGTTGATCCACTGTGGTGAGGGTTTTCCTCTTTTTCCCCGGCCTCTCTGACTTTCCCAGCATGACATCTTTTTCCAAGGACTGACGTCACCTGACAATATGTCAAATGACAATATGACAAAGTGTGCATGTGTGCATGTGCAACAGGCATGCATTTGTGTGGGTGTGTAGGTGTATGTGTGTTAAGTGAGTAAAGGATGGATTCGAGGATGCAGTCATCATGACCCTATTTCGTTTCTTTTCTCTTTGCCTCTGAGGAGCACTCTGATTATTGTCATTGTTGCTATGTGCTTTGGAGTCGACTGCTACTCACTGCCAGCCTATGAACAAGGGTTCTGAACCCTGCCCTGTTCTGAGCTAATCGCATTCTCTCCAGTACACCTATCCCCATTACCACAGTCACTGTGTCAATCCATTTCATTCATCCAGGGTCTTTCTCTCCTGCACAGTCCCACCAGCCTTTTGAGCCTGATGTCCTTCTCCAAGTGCTGGTCTCTCTTGGCAACATGCCCAAAGTATATGATACAGATTTTCAAAATGCTTGACTCCAAGAAGCAACTGGCTTCACCTTCTCCAGGACATGTTTTGTTCTCTTGGCAGTTCAGGATAAGTTCAGTATTCTTCTCTAGCACCACAACTCAACTTCTTCTGTCATCCTTTCTCATTGTCCAGCTCTCTGATGCATAGCAAGTAACTGCCTGTGTCAGGTGCACCATAGTCTCTAATCTGATGTAATTGCTCATCAGCACGCTAGAGAAGTCCCTGACAGCAGATTTTGCCAATGCAGCTAGTGTTTTGATTCCTTAACTGCTGATATCAAGAGTATTGATTGTGGATCTGAACAAGTTGAAATTGTTAGCAATCTCAATCTCATCTCCATCTATCATGATGCTGTCAATAGGCCCAGTGGTAAGAATCTTTGTTTTCTTGATGTTGAGCTTCAATCCATATTGAAGATTATAGATTCTCACCTTCTGCAGCAAATGCTTCAAGACCTCCTCAATTTCAGCAAGCAAAGTTGTATCATCTGCATAACAGCTCAATATTCTTCTTCAACAAAACAATTCAAATTCATCTATTGTTCTTTGAGCAGAACAACTTTCAGATGCAAAGGAATCATGTGAAAACACTGTAGATCAGGCACACTTTAGTCTTTAAACTGATACCATTGCTCTTTAGCACTTTGGAGTGGTCTTTGACAGCTGATTTTTCCAATGAAAGACTTCTTTTTATTTTTGGACTGCTGACACATTGACATGCTCAACATGGATTTTGAGAGAAATAAGGTCAGATAAACATCAAATCTGTGCTATTAATTTGTACTATCTTCTTTCCCTTTTAATTCAGTTATTTACACAAAAGCAAGCTTAAGAGGCATTCTTTCTACTTTCTGCTTTAATGGATTGCTTTGAAACAGGGAAAATGTTGCATCCCCACCAGATCTGAGTGTCCACAGCCCAGAGAGGCTTTTGGATTCTTTCATGGCACAGAAGGGAACCTGTGACCAAGGTGCTTAAGGCTAGTTGGGTCTTTTCAAATGCTTGTATCAAATCACAGAGTGACTTCTGCTTCTGAAGAGAACATGTGCGTTTTAGGAAAAATCATTGCAGGTGTCCAAATAAAGGAAGTACTCGGCCACATCTGGTTATCACAAGAAGACACATTGGCTTTTCCTGAATCAGTGGTTACAATAAGGCATAGAGCCTTTACTCCTTACTCTTATCTTGTGGCTGTTCTGGGAAGAACTCTCCCAGATGCCTCCAAATTGCTCACAACATCTGCTTCAAGGTTCACAGAGATAACAAGCCCATTTATAACCCTTTCTGAACCCATCT